CTACACATAGAGGACAAATAACTTTCTATGGATACTTCCTAATTCCATCGTTTAAATTGGGGTTAAAAATCAAGGTGCAAGTTACTTGGTAACTTTTCCAGCAAAATTGTTTCAGCAAAAACTCAATATCTACTTCATTTATTCCAACCGCAAGCCTAGTACCTTAAAAGGTGCGTCAAAAGGAGTAGGCCCACATGAAAGCCCGAATCCTGTTTGCGGAACCCAGACCTTGTAAGCCAAATGTGTAACATCCCTTCCCGGTCCACCCATTAACCCAAATGAACCAAGCCGAGACGCTACAATCAGGTTGAACTTATGTCCTGTCATGCTGATATCATCCTGTATGCTAAATATGAATACAAAACACTCCCAATTAAACTCCAAACTTCCAACATCTCCTTCATCACTAAATTATGAAATTCAAGAAATTCTACTTACTTGGATAGAAGAGAGATTGAATTTAATGCTTGAATCCCATCAAAATTGATGGAGAAAGGAAGGTGAAGTAAGAGTGGAAGAGGAAAAGTAGAGGAAGAGATTGAAGATAAGATGGGAAAGAAATGAAAATGAAAGAACTTCAGCGGGTAAGTCTCCTAGAATGGTCAATTGATTTTATGTAAAAATTATCCAAATTGGTACTCAAGGTGTATCAAAATGGTACAAGCTTCAAGTACCTCCAACTTTATACTTTAGTTTGCAATCCAGTCCTCAATTTCCTTTTATACTTTTGATCTTTCTTGTTTCCTTCAAGGTAAGTCCATTCTTTTCCATCCTTATACTTTGATCTTTTTGTTTCCTTCAAGTAAGTCCACTTCTTTTCCTTATTTCAATTACATCCCATTCTAGCCCACTCTAGACTCTAATGGGTCGAACCGGGTTTTGGATCAGCCCGACTCGACTTTAAGCAACGACTCGATTCATTAGAAAAATGGGACGTTACAAGACAAACATGATAGCAAAACATTGTTTATTGTAAAAAGATTTTGAGAATGTTTATTTAGTTTATCTTAATGAATTGCATAACCTTGAAGATATGTGTTTATTGTCTATTGATAACTCTAGATGGTTATGGCACAAAAGATTAGGTCATGCTAGTATGCACTTGATCTCTAAGCTCTCAAAGAAAGACCTAGTTAGAGGTTTGCTATGATTAAGTTTGAAAAAGACCACATTTGTGATGCATGTCAATTAGGTAAATAAACAAAAACCTCTTTCAAGTCTAAAGGCATGATATCAACTTCTAGAGCCTTGGAGCTTTTGTACCTTAATCTATTTGGACCTATTACCCCTTCTAGCCTTGGTGCCAAAAAATATGCCTTTGTAATTATTGATGATTATTCTCGGTTTACATGGACACTGTTACTTAGAACTAATGATGAGCCATTTAACCAATTTGTTCATTTGTGCACGAGGGATTCAAAATGAAAAAAAGGCTACAACATTACATCCATAAGAAGTGATCATGGAAGGGAGTTTGAAAATCAAGACTTTGATTCATATTACAAAGAAATGGGAATATTCCATAATTTTTCAGCTCCTAAAAACACCTCAACAAAACAGAGTTGTTGTAAGAAAGAATCGAACACTATAAGAGATGGTTAGAACAATGATCAATGCACTAAACTTTTAAAGTACTTTTGGGCTGAAGCAATCAATACTTCATGCTACATTCTTAATAGAGCTTTGGTAAGATCTACTCTTAAGAAAACTCCATATGAACTTTGGAAAGGTAAAAAGCCTAATGTAAGTTATTTTCATTTATTTGTTGCAAATGCTTTATTTTGAGTAATAAGAAAAGTAAGTTAGTTAAATTTGATGCTAAAGTGGATGAAAGGTACTTTTCTTGGATATTCAAATAATAGCAAGGCCTTTAGGGTGTTCAATAAAAAGTCTCTGGTAGTAGAAGAGTCCATACATGTTGTATTTGATGAAACTAACTCTACTTCTAGAAATATGGATATTAGTGATGATGTTGTAGATATGACACAAGAAAAGCAAAATGAGCAAGATGAACAACAAATGGAGAACATCAAGACTTACCAAAGGAGTGGAGATTTCATAAATATCATCCACAAGAGGGTATAATTGACAACCCATCTGAGAGGATGATGACTCAGGTGGCTCTAAAGAAATACTTTGGTAATATAGCCTTTATTTCTAAGATTGAATCTAAAAATGTAGTTAAGGCTCAAAATGATGAAAGTTGGATTCTTGCTATACAAAAAGAACTTAATCAATTTGAGAGGAACCAAGTTTGGAAGCTTGTCCCTAGACCCAAAAATGATTCCATTATTGAAACTAAATGGGTATTTAGAAACAAGCTTGATGAACATGGAAATGTAGTTAGAAACAAAGTGAACAGGAAATGTAGTTAGAAGCAAAGTTTAGACGTAGTGGCTTAAGAGTTAAAACTAAGAAGAAAGGAATTGATATTTTGATGAAACTTTTAGCACCGGTTGCAAGGACTTGAAGCCATTAGGAAATGTTATGTGACATTTGCTACCTTTTAGAAGATTCTCATGCTTATATCAAACTGGATGTTTTATAAATGAAGAGTGTATGTTGAGGCAACCACCCGATTTTTGAAAAAGTTTTGAAAAAAATCAAATCATTGTGTTTAAACTTTCAAAAAGCTTTGTTTATGGTATTAAGCAAGTCACTAAGCTGGTATGAAGACTAAGTAGATTTTTTACTTGAAATGGTTTTTTAAAAAGGCAATGTTTATACTACACTTATTTATCAAAACAATTGCACTTGACACCTTACTGTTCCAAATTTATGTAGATGATATAATCTTTGGTGGTTCAAATTTATGTAGATGATATAATCTTTGGTGCCACTAATGGTTCTTTATGTAAAGATTTTGCAAAGATTATGCAAGGTGAATTCGAGATGAGCATGATGGGGGAATTAAATTTCTTCCTTGGTTTACAAATTAAACAATGCAAAGATGGAATTTTCATAAACCAAGGCAAGTATGCAAAGGAGCTTCTAAAGAAATTCAACATGGAAAATGCAAAGGTATGCAACACTCCAATGAGCACTTCAACTAAATTTGACAAAGATGAAAAAGGTGAAGATGTTAATATTAGAATGTATAGAGGTATGATAGGTTCTCTTCTTTACTTAACCGCAAGTAGGCCAAATATTCATTTTACTGTATGCCTTTATGCAAGATTTCAATCTTGTCCCAGGGAATCTCACTTAATGGGTGTCAAAAGAATTTTGAGATATTTAGTGGGAACTTTTAATTTTGGTCTTTGGTATCCTAAGCATGCTTCATTTGATCTTGTTGGTTTTAGCAATGCTAATTTTGCAAGGAGTATGATAGAAAAAGCACATCGGGTACTTGCTAATTTCTAGGCCATGCTCTAGTATCATGGTTTAATAAAAAGCAAACCTCAGTTTATTTATCAACGGCCGAAGCCAAATATATTGTAGCCGAAAGTTGTGTAGCACAAATATTATGGATCAAACAACAACTTGTAGATTATAGGTTGAAGGTTGATAGAATTCCCATCAAGTGTGACAACACAAGTGTTATTAATCTCTCAAAGAACCCAATTCAGCATTCAAAAACTAAACACATTTATCTTAGACACCATTTTATAAGAGACCACATGCAAAAAGGAGATATTGTAATGGAGTTCATACCCATGGAAAAACAACTTGCAGACATCTTCATGAAGCCACTCAATGAGAATCAATTTTGCTTCATAAGAAGAGAGCTTGGTATGATTGATCTTAACTATTAATTTGATGATCTTTTTATGCTTTATTTGTTTGGTTATCATGATTATCAATACGCGCTTCATTGAATACTTTGAGAAATTTTTTTTGTGTAAATATACATGTATGAGTAGACATGGCCATATTACGGTTCCCAGAACCGGAACCGGTGGTTCGGAACAGGTCCGAATCGGTGGGAACCAAAATCGGTCCAAACCGGAACCGGATCCGGTTTCGGTTCCAATATTCTGGGAACCGCAAACCGACGGTTCCAAAAATCGATCGGAACCGGATGGAACCACCGGTTTTCCGGCTGGTTCGAACCGGCGGTTCTAGCCGTTACAATCTATCAGCAAGTCACTTTTTTTTTTTTGAAAATTTTGTAGTGAAATCTCTTAATTACCCTTTCCAACAACTATAAACGGCTAGTTTTAAGGGTAGTTGTGGAAAAATGATTCTGTAGATTTATTATAAATACCTCATTCCATTCCATTTACAATTTCCTCACAAAAAAATCTCTACTCTCTCTACACTCTACTACACTCTACTCTATATTATTTCACTCTACTCTATATTCATTCGTTCTCTTACTCTACAATCTCTCTAATTTTCATTCACAATTTATTGTGAATTTAATTTATTTGAATTCAATCTTCTAATTTTTTCTTTCTAATCTTTTTTATTCAATTTTATTCCAAATCTCATATATTCATTTTCATATAACGGCAAGTGGAGGAAACTCAAATTCTGCATAAGGGCAAGGGAAACTGTGGAGAAACACAATATTCATCTTCTCCCTAAACACACATCTTCGCATTTTCACTCCCACCGACTTTAACTTCTTGAGGAGGGATATCCAAATGAAAATATGGAAATTCCAACTCAAGAATCGGAATTTAATAATGAGCAATTACAACAAGAGGAAGAGGAAGAGTAAGAGCAAGGTATACAACTTCTTCGAAGAGCAAGACAGAGGTTCGACATATTCGCTATTCATTTCACGAAAAAATTCAAAGGTGAAAAAATATTCGATGTAATTTGCAATTATTGTGGAAAATCTTATAAATTTAAACAATCGGGCGGTTATAGATCATTTTGGAAACATTTGGAGACAAAACATCCAACAAAAATAGGATTTGATCGGTATCAAACACAAATTTTCGGGTACGCATCTTCTAACCTTTCTTTATTTCAATATATTGAAAAAAAAACAAAAAGAAGAATTAGCAAAAATGATTTCTATGGAACATTTATCTTTTAGTTTTGGTGAAAAAGTAGGTTTTAATCAATATTGTCATCTTATTAGTTTTTGGTGAAAAATAATTTTAACCAATATTTCAAAAGCTTTTAAATCTTTTTTCTGCTAAAAGAGTTGCAGAAATACTGTAAATCGACTATTATTTCTTGTTATATAAAAAAGAAAAAAAAGAGTAGAGCTTCTTATTTATGGAAAAGAAATCGTAGTTTCAAATTTGTTGTGATTTGGAGTGGATCATTGGCAAATGCATTCTTTATATGGGCATTACATAGTTCTTGGATTGATAATGATTGGAAAATTCAAAAAGATTCATTGCATTTCATGCTTTTAATGCATAACATACGCTGCAATAAATACTTTATAGAATAATTGTTTCAATTTAGTGAAATAATAAGTTGGACAAAAAAAAAAAATTTTTCAATTTCCATTTGATAATGTTCTGCATATACTAAATCAATTGCTGAACTTAAAAAATAATTATGTAGAACCAAATATTGGTGGAAAACTTTTTTCATATAAGATGTGCATTGCCATGTTAAAATATTATGTGTACAAGATGGTTTGAAAATTCTTGAATCTTTTTATTTCTCCCGATTAGAAAAAACTATTTCGATATTATATTGCTGGACATCTCCAAGTGATGAAAAATTGGGCTAAATTTGTAAGGAAAATAATAAAAGACCCAAATATTTTCCAGGGGATGTCGTACTCGTGGAATTAACATATGAATTATTAAACAGAGTTTTTTCTTATAAAGAATTATTGTGATTTTTGTTACTAATAATATTGAAGAAACTTAAATTTATATCCACAAAATTGAGATCATTTGTTGCAAAATTTTAGATATTTTAAAGTTTTAATGAGCCTACTATAAATTTTATGGGGTTTATTATCCCACCTCTCATTTATTTTTACCTATGTGGTAATTTAATACTTGTTGTGCATTCCAAAAATTTGGAAACGACTTTTATATCTAAAAAGAATGTGTTATTTTTTCATGAAAAAAATTTGGTTATCTTATTTGAAAAATATACCACCCTTTTATCTTGTTGGTATTGTATTTGATCCTAGATGTAAATTGATGTCTTTATGTGAAATATTTGACTATTTATATGAATTATTAAAATCCTTGATAAGAGATTAGGTGTAATATAAAATAGTAGTATTGCATAGAAGTTAGACAAATATATAGATATATATCATGGAATTTGTCGAAATTTTCTAGTTCATCTAGAATCAATTCTAATTCTTCTTGCAATTTAATCATTCAACATTTCCAACCTCAAGGGTAAGTACTAGCAGGTGTTGGTGTTGCTGAACGGGTTTTACTACAAAACAAAAAAAGACAAAGGGAACCGGGTTCTTTTTTCTGAATTTGATATTACTCTAACCACTCTTTTGAGTTATGGTGCAATAATTATTGAAGATAATAATTTTCCAATTTAGATTGGTGGAGTCGTCACAGCAATACATTTCCAATAATTTCTTTTATTGCCCAAAACAAGGTTTTAGCAGCTCAGGTCTCCACTTTGTTGGTTGGCGGGGGTTGAACAGTTCTTTACGTCAAGGAGGAAACATACTTGAAGAAACACGATTCACTCAGAAGGCACCATCATGCGATGGGAGAATCATGCGTTGATGATTGGAAAGCAACGGCCGAACTAAGAGCACAAGAACAATCTAAAGAATTAAGATTTATATTGATTCTTTACGATGGGTCCTCAACGGGAACATCACCGGTGGTGGAAATAGCGAACTAAGGTCAAAGGGGTGAAATTGGTACAAGGTAAGTTAAGAACTACGGGGCTTTGTTCCTTAAAACCCCAAGAGAATACGTTAGGGCAACTTTATTTTTTTTTAAAGCAACTTTATTTTTTTTTAAAAAAAAAAAAAAGTTCAAGCCCTTTTTTTTAAAAAAAAAAAGAATTATGTTCCAACTTTTTTAAACAAAAAATAAATTCAGTTGAAGACTTTTTTTAAAAAAATAATTAATTTCAAGTCTTTTGAAAAAAAAAATTTAATTGAAGCATTTTTTTTATTTTTTAAGTGTATTTTTTTTAGAAATAATTTTCACAAATTTTTAAATTTTCAAAACCGGTCTTCAAAATTTAAAATTTAAAATTATTTGATTCGTCGGAAAACCGGTCGGAGAACCAATTGGAGCCGTCCGTTTTGGAACCGTTAAGGAACCGAAACATTTCGGTTGCAAACCGGAATCGGAACAGAAAATTTTCGGTTCGGTTTCGGTTCCAAATTTTTTGAAAATGGAACCGGCGGTTTCGGAACCATGGCCATGACTATGTATGAGTGCTTAATTTTAATTTGTAATTTATGTCTCTATGTTATTTTTTCTTTTGCTAATATGTTTTTTTAACTCTATCTTTTTTTTTTTTTTTTTTTGGTTACTAGGTCTGTTTTTTTTTTTTTTTTTTTGGCTACTAGGTCTTTAAGAAGATGCCTAAAAACTCTGCGTTTTGAATATAAAAGAAGACGTCATATATATGTTAAAGATAAACTCAGCCTTCTCTCCTTAAAACGTTGCGTTTTTCTTGATTCTTCTCTAAACATTTTTTTTTTTTTTTGTCAAAACTACCCATGTGTCTTTAAAAGAAATGAATTATTTAAAAGAAGGGCAAAACAATATTTTTGTAGTCTTTTTTAATGAAACGGTGTGTTTCATTCTTATTTAGTAGTGTTTTTGTTAAATTTTTTTTCCATCCTTGTTTAAAATAAATGAAATGTTTTGTATCAGAGGTCAGTTTAGTAATTCATCCTCTAACCCTAACCTTCTAAAATCTTTCCTCCTTGATCGAAACATAAAACCACCTTCCCTCTCTTTTGAAATCAACCTCTACCTTCTCTGAAAATTTTGAAAGCCCTAATTGTCGCGTCAAAAACAGTAACTGCCATCTCTCTTTAAAAGACAACACTCTCAAGCATCGTTCACACATCCTCATTTTAAAGAAATTTTCTCTCCTTCATACAAATGGTGAGAACAAAGGGTGCTGCTGCTCGCAAGCCTTCTTGAAACATTCATTACACAAGAAAAGCAGAGAGCTCCCTTAGTAAGTCTGTCAAAGGGAAGGAAAAAATGGTTGATGAATCAGAAAAGGAGAAAGAAAAGGGAAAATCACAAAAAGCTAAGATACTCCGTAAAATCCATTGCCACAATACCATCATTAGCAATTATTAGATAGGCTGGAGGTAATTATGGTTCATCTAGGTTCCCCACAAAGAGTGGTTCAAATTTCAAGGTTGGAGAAACTTTATGAAATTGCAGTCTGCTTATTATGAGGTCTTAGTCAAGGAATTTTATGGGTCCATTAAGGTGGAAAATGAAGATGCTTTTATAGTAAAACTGAAAGGGAAAACCTATAGAGTTTCTAAAAATGACCTAGCTATGGTTTATAGGATACCAAATGAGGCAACTCTAGTGAGTAAAAGTAGTGAGGTGAATGCTTTGAAAAATTTCAATAAGGTTGGGTACTTGAAAAACATTACTAAGAAAGATGTTAATTCTGTGTGCAAATCAGTTACCCTTCATTCTATGTCTTTTTTTTTCACTTTATTTTTTGAGAATCGGGCATTACTTTATCTCTCACTATATTCTGCCATTTCTTTGGGGATATGATTATGTTAATAGTGTTGAGTTATGCTTGTTGTGGCACTTGAAAAATAAAAAGCAATATAATTTGTGTCACTCGATGTTCAAGTGGATGACTACTGTTACTAAAGAGAAAGGCTTACCATATGGTATGGTTTTAACTACTCTTTTTGAATATTTGAGTATTGATTTGAAAGAAATGGGATAAAGCCAAAGAAATCTCATTGCATCAATCACAGGTTTCTTTAATATTCTATACAAAGGGGTAAAAACAATAAGGAAGTAGAGATAGAGAAAGAAAATGAGAAAGAACAAGAAGAGGGAGATAAAAGTGAGGAATCTGAAACTGAAAGTGAGAAGGGTAGTAGTGAAGATAGTGAGAAAAGTGAAAGCAATGAGGACGAGAGTGAAAAAGATGGAAGAAGTGAGAATGAAGAAGAAAAAGAGGATTTAGAAAGTGAGTATGATGAATCTAAGGAGGAGATGAGAGACAAAGAAAAAGAACCTAGTGAGAAAATAGGAGAGAAAAGAAAAGATTATGAGATCCCTACTTAGATTTCTCTAGGTGGGAGGATTATCCTAGTGAGAGAAGTCATGAAGAAGGTATGGAAAGTGAGCAAGAAGCTTTTCTAGAAGGGTCGATGAGAAACATTCGGCAAGAGGACAAGGAAACTGAGGGGAGAAATAAGCTGATTCAAGCCATGAACAATTTAGCTAATCAGATATCTAGTGCAGCAAAAAATTTTGCTGAGGCAGTCAGTGAGCTAAAATCTCTGAGGCAAGAAGCAATTGCACCTTCTGAAAAATATGCTGAACCAGTTGCTGGAGAAAGAAGATCCTCTCGACCAAGAAAAAGGGTAAAGCATACTACTCCTAAGCCTCCATTTTCCTCAAGAAGGCAGACTCGTAGAGCATTCAAGACCAAACCCACTGAACCCAACAAAGATAGCAGTGTTGAAAAACCTATGGATGTGGAAGATATGGCCTAGACTTACTCTCATGCATTGTGTGTTGTGTCTTTTATTTTCTGTCTATAAATTTCTAAACTATTTTCTGTGTTATTTTTGTGATCTGATCTTGCATTTAGTTTTCCTTTTTCCTTTTTGATGGATGACAAAAAGGGGGAGAAAGAATATCGAGTTGCTTTATGTGTGTTATGTGTGTTGGTGTTCCACTTTAGTTTTTAGTGCTTTATTACTTTATGTTTAGCTTATGTTTATATATAAGTTTACTGCTTTATAACTTTATCGTGTAGTTCAGATATTATAATATATATATATATATTATATTATATATATATAGATATATATATATATTTTGCTGAGTATGGTGCTTCATATTGTTTCACATAGCCTTAGTATCTTTTTGGCAGGCTATAGATGTAATGAACTCAGATTATATATATTTTGCTTTATATATGATTATCAAGTCTTCTATAGATTCTTTTGAAAGTAACAATCTATTTATGCAAGAAGTTCTCAGCTCAGAAAATAAGTGAGCTAATTTTGCTCAGAACAGCCAGTAAGCTGATTTTGGTACATTCTTTTAATTTTTAGCTCAGTTCTCTATTAACTCACTCTCCTATATAGTCTATTAATATCTTTGTATATACATTCATAAACTCAAGGGGAGTTTTCTACTTTTTGTTCTTTATGCTTTATCATTCATATGATAAAATCTTTTGAGCAAAGAAAAATGATGCGTAGACTTAGGGTGAGTAATCTTTTCTATATATGTGCACTGTGTATTCAATTTATTTATTTTTGTCATCATCAAAAAGGGGAAAATTGTTGGATCAAGGGCTTTTACTACCTTAAATTTTGATGACCAATAAAAATAATAAATTGAAATAAATTTATTATATAGTATTTTTTAAAGTCTTGTGCAGAAATTAATTCAAGTGATTTCATCAAAGTGAAGACTAATGCTTATCCAACTGAAGATCAACAAGGCTACTTGAAGACTTGAAGGCATTGTAATTAGTAAGTTAGCCTAGTTAGTTAGGTTTAGTTCATCTTGCTGAAATAGAAAGATAAATTATGCCTATTCTAGCTAAAATCAAAATTATCTTTCTAGCCTTTTTAATTAATCTAATTAAAGAAGATATTTTGTTAAAATAATATTTCTTGCAATTTTAAGAGGGAAAAATGGATTTCAAATCCCATTTTTCAAAAATTAAAAATAATTTCTCTTCGTTAAAAAGATTTAATGGGAAAAATAAGATCTTAAAATTCCTTGGGCTTTTAAATTTGAAAAGACCCACTTTCTATAAAAAGTACTATAGCTCATATCCTTCCCTCTTTCTAGCTAAAATTCTGCTGCCACTCTATCTCTTCCTTTCCTCCTCTCGAATGTTAACTTTATCTCTCTAACGGGAAGAAAAGTTTTTCTGGGTATAAAAGGATGCAGAATACTTGATCTAGTATGAGAGTGAAAAATTGTTCTTGGGTTTTATTATTCAAATCCTCTCATCTTTCTTCTTCTTGATTTCATGATTTATATTCTAAATCCTCTCATTCTTTCTTTTCTTCTTGTATTTCATTGATTATCTTATCTAAAGAGAGAGGAAAACTGATATTATGAGAGAAAATTTGTGTTTTATTTTTTAATTTCAAAATCTCAATCATTTCAAAACTCTCATCATAAGCCTTCATCTAATTCTTCTTCTTTATGCTTCAAATGCATTGTTTCTAAGAGAAGAAGATGAATCATATTTTAAGAGAGATTTTCAAAACTGAAATGAAAAACATTTTAAAATTTCTTTCCTAAGCTTGAATGGGCATAAGTCTCTTCCTATTATAGGTTCTTGTTAATCTAGAATAGAGTATAGAAAAACAAAAGTGAAAAATCTTGTGAGAAAAAAGCTTGTGTGAAGCTTGTGTTATTTGGGTAATCACGCATCTCTCTTTGAGTAAGAGCGAGTCTTGTAAGTTTCCTAGTTCTTATTAAAAACTAGTGCGATTAAGTTTTTATCTAGTTCTTTGCCAAAAACTAGAAAGGATAAGTTTATAAGTTCTTTGAAAAACTTATAGGGAATGGTTAGTTTTAGGTGTTGAACTATTTCCATTGTATTTGGCTTTGCTCTTGCTTCGAAAAGAGTTTGATAGTGGATGATCTTCAAAGATGATTTCTTGCAGGATGGATGTAGGCGAGGAGTGGATGTAGGCGTGAGAAGTGCCGAACCACTATAAAATTGATTGTGTTGATTTCTCCTCTTTCTTCTCTTGATTGCTATATTCTCATACACTCATTTGATTATCTGTTTATGCTTGATGAATAAACTCTATTATTTGTGTTGAACTATGTTTATTTGACTTCTAGGATTGCTTAAATTAGTTACTGTCTTGAAGAATCTCTGCAGACTAATTTCAATAAGTTATATTTAGTAACTGGTTGAGCTCTATGTTTTAATGTCTATGTTAAATCAGATTGAATATTTATTTGTCTTATACATGGTTATTATTTGATTTGAGTTGGTATAAAATGTTGCTTTTGCTATGATTGTAAAATTCTCAACAAGGATAATTTTTTTTTTTAAATACCAATTCACCCCCCCCCCCTTTATTTCAGTTTTTTTTTTTGAAAACCCAATTCACCCCCCCCCCCTCTTGGATATTTGCCTTTAGGACCTACATATGTTATTAAAATTTTAATGAAAATGTTTCATGATACTAATATTTGTCTATTTCCAAGAGAGAATATTATATTAGTAATTTATTAAATAGAGGTGATAGGCATTGTGTCTAACAACTTAAAATGAAACCTATTGTATTTAGCAATCTTTGTGATATACTCACTAGGAATGATGTTTTGCGACCAACTGCAAATATGTCTATTAGGGAACAAGTAATGAAATTTTTACAAGTTATACGGCACAATATTGGATTTCATTTTATTGTTAGAACTTTCTATAGATCTGTTGAAATTAGTCATCGTTATTTTAGAATTGTATTTGTTAGAAACAGAAGATGGAAAAGGTCCCATGAAATCTAAACTCCACACATCAAAAATCTCCACTTCAAGAATGTTATTCAATGTTATCTCATGTCTCTTGGAGATATTTCCTAATTTGGGTTAAATCCTAAGGAGGAATATGCATAAAATCAAAAGCAATTCAACTCAAAACAATTTCTTAATCATAACTAAACACATATAAGGGAATAGTGTAGGTGATTATTACTTTTGATGTAATGAAAATCCTAAGATTATGCATTCTTTGTGCTTTTTTTTTGTCTATCCTTATATCTTTTGTCTTTGTTTAGCTAAACTATAACCTTAAAATCCCATTACAATCTTAATTAAAGACCTTTTGATTTTTCTAAATGTGTTGCATTTAGAAAAATTATAGAGAAGTGATAACTAATTTTGCCTAAGAGAATGTTGAATCCATATTCATCATCTATTTTTTAAAGGTTAATAATTTTTGTGAAAAATCATATTCTATTTATCATAATTTGACCAATTATTGGTGTTAAAGTCTTACTAACTCATATTTACATTAAGGAATGTGTTTTGTTAAAAGCTTGAATTTTTGCAAGAATATAATTAGCAAAGGAAACACTTCATGTATTCTCATGTTAATAATTTTTTATATTTTTGAGACTGTGAATAACTGTTCCCAACCATATTAAGCTAGCTTTATTAGTTTGTTTAGTTTATATTTTGCTTTTAATTTTGTTGCTTGGGGACAAGCAATGGTCTAAGTTTGGGAAATGCTAATAGGCATTATTTTTGTAGTTATTTTTAGTAGATTTTAGTTAGGATTTCTTTTTGGATTTTATTTAATTTTTCGTATTTTAGTTAAGTTTACTTTTTTTTTTTTTTCAATAAGGCTTCCTTGAATCGTATTTCACTTGATCTTGAGAAATTTTATAAGATTTTTACAGGAAACCAGAAAAATTGCAAAAAGTGGATTTCAAAGCAAGAAAACAAGCAAGGCTTCCAAAAGTTAGGTGTGCTATTTAACACCCTCATGTTGTTTAGATAACGAATCTCAATGATAGCCAGAGGCTAGCACGCCCATATCGAATCTCAGATTTCATCTTGGGTTGAAAACGTCAGCTCTAGCCCATGCCGCCTACATGGACTTGCATGAGAAGTCTTTTTAACGTGCCTAATCAAGCTTAAATCCTATCTAAATGCTGGGAGAGTCCAAATTGAGAAGAAATACAAGTCTAATCGGTTTTCTATCTTTCAAAAGATTTCTTCCTCATTAGAGATTCTCTTTCCTAAACGAACTCAAAGATTTCCTAAGGAGTCTATATAAAGAGAGAAACTAGATAGATTCGAATTATATCTTGTTCTATTATTCTCTACTCTAATTTAGTTTCTTTCTCTAAGACTTCGAGTATTCAAGTTGATGTCAAAATTCAAGTAAACTACTCAAGCCAATCGTTAACTAGTTTTTATTTCTAAACTCTTTTCTTATTTATTATTCATTGTGGGATTATTTGCAAGTTTAGTTGAGTTTGATTTATTTACTATGTCGAACTAAATCTTTTTACTAGGGATATGATGTAGCTTAAATTCAACTCCAGTTTATAATGTTAGATTTG